ATTAGTTGCGATTTGTGACCATCTTAGGTTTCACTCGATACAGTTGCTAAATCTTTCAATAATGTCGCTTTCCGACTAAGAACCTAGATTGACAACATAATGAGATTACAAGGCACTTATTTTAATTGCTGCTAACGAAGTGAGCAGCGACACTAATCTCGCAGGCCTTTTGGGGTCCCTGTGCCATACATACATACTGAAGGCGAAATTCGATTTCGTGGGCTAGCGATAGACACTTTGAGCCTACAGTAAACATTACATAATCAGCGGTTATTATCAAATGATGCGCCGTAAACTGCATGGTCTTTCTATTGCTTTTCGATCTCTTGCAACGGCAAGTTCGACAAGTATTCAGCATGTTAAATGCGACTTTATTTATTCGAGGAAGTATTTATCAAGGTGATAATCGTTTTAGCGACATTTCTAGAGGAAGGCAATGTGCTTTTATGAGTCTTTCAGCTTAAGTTATCTGCACATTGTGATGATATTTCGACGTGGACGACAGATACGATGGGTTGTGTTTTGGCCAAATGAGATCTTTTGAACAGCATTCGAGAAGCGCTCTATGCCTGATGAAGAGACTATTTCTCTGAATTATCTGCCAGGTCGAGTCCTTTGGTCTCCGATGACATAACTTCCATCSKACATTTAGGCAAACCAGCCAAACCAATCGCCCGACGAGGCAAAAAAATCAAAACAATCGCCCGACGAGGCAAACAAATCAGAACAATCGCCCGAAAATAAATAAAAAATTAAAAAAATACAGTCTGTAATAAAGTGTACATATACGTTCTAATCGTCTTTGTTTTTGCCATGTATTCTCCCTCCATAAAATCAAATAAACCTAAAACCAATTTGAACAACATCACAGAATTTACATATCGCAGCACTTCACTTTCGATAGGAACCGCTAGTAGTAAATATAATCTGGATTCCCCATCTAATTTTTGGTAGGATGCTTGCACGTAACTTGCATTGTTGTTAAAATCAGCTAAACCCCTCCTACTACAGAATACACCTCAAGCGATGCCCTGTCGCCCATCGCTCAGAAAGCGTTTCATCGCGACTTCAATGTTCAAAGGGATTTTATAGGTTTTTCTGCGACTTGGGGGCGGAGCTTGATACTAATCAGCCAATGATTGAACAAGTTTTTGAAAAGCTCCGCCCCTCAGATTGACAGAAAACAAACTTCAAAACAAAGAGGTCGCCATGCAACGATTTCCGCTGTAAAGCCTTGTAACTTCATTATTTTAAATATCTATTCAATATAACTTGATAAAAGGTTAGTTCTCTATTAGAGCTACCTTCCGTCTTAATTTTATCTCGGGGAATAGCCTTTTTGTATTCTGTGTCAGTTGAACACATCATCAGTAAGCTCATCAAAAGTATGTCTTAGCCAATCATGTTTGGAAATAGCTTGTCAATTACTGTCATTTTGTATTTGTAAAATACAGTCAAATCTCTCGTAAGGGACCACCTTGGGATCACTGAAAAAGTGGTCGCTTACGAGAGATGGTCGCTTACGAGAACGTTAGCACAGGAAACCCAAACAATGATAATCGCGAAACAGGAGGCCTAAATAGTTCAAAACACGTTGTTCGTATTTCAGTGTATAAAAATCTTTGAATAATTATACTGCTTCCATGCCAGTCCGCAAATTCTTGAAGTTGTTTTTAATATCCCAATTCTATTGCTTTCAGTGGTGTATACACTATATAGTGTATTTGATACTAAATAGTTCGCTTTTACGTTTGTACTCTATTAAAGAAACCGTAAATGTAATGGATGAGTTGCCAGTAACCAGGCCCCTCTCGTTTTTACAATGCATTCTGGGTATGCCAAGGGGCAAACAACACGAAGCGAGTAAGCAAAAGTATGGGGATTTTGTTTTCAGCGTGCTTTTAATTCGTTTTATCGCTATCTAACCGAAGTTAGTTTGGAAAATTCAAAGGTAGTGGACCCGAACAATGTCTAGGCTTCGATTATGTAAGTTTTTCACACGTATTTGATGTGATATCGATAAAATACCCTGCATTCTATCGGAAGTGCTATTGTGAAATGTACACACTAATGTTGCAAGTTTTATAGCCTCTAAAGATAGATAAACTTGTAGATATGTTGAGTATGACATAATAAATTCTTCGTACTTTAGCGAAGAAGTGTTTTTTTGACTGGGTTTACGTTTTTCTTACGAAAGTTCGGTATTATAACATGTATGGGAATCAAAGAGAAATAGTGGTTCGTGGAGACGGTAATTGCTTTTACCGATCAATAGCTCTATGGAAAAACAAAAATAATGACAAAAACTACCAAGAAATTCGTAAACTATGCTGTGATTTAATTGAAGACAACCAGCATCGTTTTATGCCTTTCTTATTTGCGAAGAAGTCTGTTTTTGAGCATGTAACTTTGGCGCGAAGAGAAGGTACTTGGGCTGAGACTATGGACATTTTTAGCTGTGCCTCATTGCTAAGTCGTCCTATATACCTTTTTTCTATGAAATCTAAGCAATGGCTCATTTTCAAGCCACTGGTAGGACTCAAGTCTCCGTTAGCAGTAGCCTCTACAAACCATCACTGTGATTGTCCTATTACACTGGCTTTTCATGATTATAACCCTGCTACAAATCATTTTAATCTTTTATTGCCAAATAATAACAATTGTTGTACATTACCTGTTCCTAAAAATTCTGTTGTTCCCCCCATTAAAATTAACTTGGCACAAAATCAGCCGTCTACTCAAGCATCAAGTGATGGTGAATGGATTAAAGTGGAACCAAGAAGATGTAAAAGAAAAGCTACATGTACAGTCCAAACATCCCAGCCTACTGCCAAACAACAGCAAAAGGTACCACCTAAACAGTCAACAACAGTACCAATCACTTCTAACAAGCCACATAATCAACATCAAGAAGCACCAAAACCTGTTCCTACTACAACCACATCCACAGTCCAGCCATCCCAGCCTCCTGCCAAACAACATCAAAGGGTACCACCTAAACACTCAACTGCAGTACCAACCACTTCTAACAAGCCAAATAATCAACATCAAGAAGCTCCACAACCTGTTCCTTTTAAATCTGAAGAACAAATAAATGAAGTTCACAAAGAGTCCATCCAAGTGCCAAAATGTCCAACTGATTTTGAGAGTATGAGTGTAAAAGAACTTAAAAGATTTGTTTCATCTAGAGGCATTACTGCTAGCACATATAACAAAGATAATTTGATCACTCTGGCAAAGGCTGCAGTTGAAATGAATCTTATTTCTGATCCTGATTTTCAAAATGACTCCATGGAAAATTGTTTGAAAAATAGACTGATGATGCCCTCCGGAAAAGAATTAATTAGCCCATGTCAAATGAAAGACTTTTCAAATGATTTTTCATTAATACCTCCATTTGGACTGATGGATATTTTTAATCACTTGATTATGCACAGATCTGATTATGACAAAGAGATGCTAGCTTCATGGCGATCATTTGATGACTATTCCTTGTTTGAAAGTGGTCATGTCCAAGAATTATCAGTGAAACCAGTCATTGATAATGATGGTAGCAAATTCTTTGTCTTTGTAGCAGGTGTATTGCCATCACAAAGAGATAAAACACAGGAGAATGCCAAAAAGTATAAGCTTTGTTTTATTCTGGATTCTCTTGGATCGGTTTTTTCTGCCTTTTGTAATTGTAAAGGTGGTGGTGATCAAGGATGCCGGCATTTGGGTGCAACTCTTTTTGAATTGGAAGATTTCCTCTCTAATAAAAAAAAAATCTGTGACATCTGTAAGTGTCTACTGGAATCCTAAACCAAGCCCTCTTCATAAACCTGTACCAATTATGAATTTAAAAATTTCCCACAAAAAGATTAAGAAAACAGGACGCAATATTACTCCTTATGATGACTCTTGGATAGACTCCTTTGACCCACGACCAAATAAACACAGACAGGATGCTACAGATGAAGCAGTTAGTAAATTTGCAACTAAGCTTGAAAATATTGATTCTGACTGTGCCATACTTGATTACTTGAAAACTGATGATGATAATGATGATAATGTGGACGTTCAAGATAATAATTCCGAGAATATAACTGATTTACAAAACAAGCCTAAAGATATCGGACATCTAACCATAAATTCAAGATTAGAATCGAATTTGAGCTGTTCTAGTCAAGGCGGTTTGTCAGGAAGCCCATCTTCTCCTAATTCAATATCTAAATCAACTCCAAGTGATTTAAATGAAGATACAGTCCACCTACAAGTAAATCTACTGCTTCTTCATCTGATTCAAATGATATCTCCTCTATAACACCAGAATCTCCAACTTCAAAATAACATTGATCTGTCTGATATATCTGATTTGGAATCTGAGAGTTCAAGATCAGAAACTGATAATAAGGATAATAAACATAACCCGTCTCAAAATATTGATTTATTAAATAATCTAATCTCATTTGTAAAACAAGAAGATACCATCAAGAACATCAACGAATTTATAACATCAGGATGTGGTATTCCAAGTAATTTCTCTTGCAAACAATCAACTATTGGAACATGGCAATTATTTAATAATTTGATAGGTGAGGGCAGTGACTTATTTGATGAGCTTTTGTCAGAACTTTTTGTAATTTTTCCTGTTATGAAGGACAAACAACTAAATGAAAATATATCAATTGCAAATCATTTACTCCAACTTTTTCAAAAAGCACCTGTAGAATAGGCCACATAGTTCATGTAACAAGTATCCTGTAAATACTTGCCCACGTATGTGATAAGAATAAAAAGACTTAACCTTTATACTAAATTATCTCATTCATGAAAAATAAACATATACAAACTTGTTAGACTTGTGCAGCTTCTATTTTAATGTGTCATAACAACTTGTTCATTTATACTACTTTTTAATGCTCCTTGTTCTGAGGTTTGAAAGAGCAGCACACAAAAACTCAATCCTATCAAGTATAGGCTTGAGGACAATTGGAATAACTCCAGAAATAATCCGGAAGTGTTTGAGTGATAATATGTATCTCTCTACATGTGTTCGCAGGGAAGCAACTCTTCGGGTATGCGTAGTACCCCTAGATGATAATCTGGCCCCTATGCAATAGGCTGGGGAAATCAAATGAACTTTCTTAAATGTAAGAATGTCGCGAATTAAAAATCCCTTGTCAGCCATAACAGCATCTCCTTCATCAAGTAAGCCAATTAATCCACTATTTCGTACAATTTCTTTGTCGCTTATGCAGCCTGTCCAAAGTGGTGGGATGAAGGAAATGATACCTGACGGTGTAATGCCAATAAGCAGTTTTGCAGTGTTCCAGTGTTTATAGTTACTCCAAGTGATTTTTTGGCTTGTTGGCAATGATGGCTTTTGAAGATATAACTCCACACAATCTATAATAACCCTAGCATTTTGAAATTTCTTAAAACGCTTAGGCAGATTTTTTTCAATCTGAGACCTGCTTAGCCAGGGAACTAAAAATGACAATTCTTCAGACAGGAAAATAACCCAAGTGTTAAATATTCTAGACACTTGTCCTGCATTTATGCTGAAGGTGTCTGCTAGAAAACGTACATCAAAACCTTTCCGCAATCTCACCAATGTAAGAATAAATTCTTCCCATTTTGTTAGAACTCGCTTTTCATTTGATTTTTCTTTCCTTTTTTTATTTTCCTTTGGCTTAATTGTGTCTACACTTCCCCTCCAATAGTTGATTGAATTGGCTTTTTCTTTTATAGTAGAAAATACCAAATCAAGTTTAGGGCGACTTATTCCGGTATATCGGTAACAGTTTTTTACACAAGTCGCTTGCTCAATAAAGTAATTTCCTTTTTGCGATTGATGATCAATCGTGCTAGTTTGTGTTGTAGACACATCTCCCTCTTCACAAAAAGACTTTGCCTGATTGTCAGAAAATTTCATCTTTTTGGGAGATTCTTTGACTGGCTCGATTTTTTGCTTTTTCTTCTTGTTACTTAATGCCCTGTATTTTGGAGGAGGCCTGCTTGGGATCGTACTTTGCTCCTCGTAGCCCTTCAGGTAGAGTGTTGGTGTTCGACGTTCACTATGTCTGTAACCAGCCGAGAAGTGATTGCTGCATACTTTAGTGCTGGAAGTCACTTTGAAATTATCTCTATGTATTGCTTTGTCCCAAGAGGAAATATCTTGCTTAGACAAAGGTCAATAGAATCGTAAAACACCGACATGTGGCAGCACTATTTGTTTTCTGGGTACCTACGATCATTATCACAGCCCCATACAGCACAGTGATCACCAGCAGGCATTGTAACATATACGACTTACGAGTTACAATCGTAGATTCAATATTCTTTCAACAAGAAAACAGCGCACTCAATACTCACTTATTTCAACAAGAAAAGACTTTATTATGTCATACTCAACATATCTACAAGTTTATCTATCTTTAGAGGCTATAAAACTTGCAACATTAGTGTGTACATTTCACAATAACACTTCCGATAGAATGCAGGGTATTTTATCAATATCACATCAAATACGTGTGAAAAACTTACATAATCGAAGCCTAGACATTGTTCGGGTCCACTACCTTTGAATTTTCCAAACTAACTTCGGTTAAATAGCGATAACACGAAGTAAAAGCACGCTGAAAACAAAATCCCCATACTTTTGCTTACTCGCTTCGTGTTGTTTGCCCCTTGGCATACCCAGAATGCATTGTAAAAACGAGAGGGGCCTGGTTAATGGCAACTCATCCATTTGCAACTCATCTTCTTAAGTAAATTAAACACATGCGTTTATTGCGTAACGACATGGCAGTCGAGGGTGGTCGCTTACGGGAGCCGGAAAAACAATGAAAAATTCCACAATTTCAACCCCTAAGGTGGTCGCGGTTGCCTACAAAAGTGAGAAAGTGGTCGTCTACGAGAGTTTTTTTACAGAGTTTATATGGGAAACAAAACGGGAAATTTAAAAGGTGGTCGCTTGCGAGAGTGGTCGTTCAAAGAGAGTCAACTGTATGCACTATGCGGCTAATCAGACTCATTCCGAATGACCAAAAATGTTGCAAAAATCAGTCCGAAATCTTTGTCAAAACTTATTCTCTTTGATGTCGGGGCAATAGAATGGCGTAGACCCCCTCTGTAAAAACATTTTATCAATAGCTCCATTGGAACTCTTTGAAAGGAAATTGATAGACAACAGAAGTTGTCCCTGTCACAAAAATATTAAGCCCGGATATAAGAAATTATTAGTTCTATTCGGACTGTCTCTGATTCACATGCAGCACTGATAATTTTCTCGTTAAAGGTCCCGAGCGTGAAGTCATTTTGTCTCTTGTTGGGGGTTAAATATAAACCTTTTTGTTTTGATTGAACATGGCCTCCGAGCGTGTAAAAATTAATAAAAATATTCATAGAAGTTTTTGAGTATTGTTTTTTTAAAAGAGTTTAATGCCACGACTGGTTTCAAAGATTACAAAARTCAACGAATATCAAAGAAAGCTTACATGCAAAGGTATTGATCTAATAAATTGGATGTTGAAGATGTTGAAGGTGTATGTAACAGAGTAATATTATTAAGATAGTAGCGGTGTTTGAAAAAAAGGTTTTATCAGAATAATCCTACTTATATATATCAAAGTATGAACACAACGTAAGCTAATTGTAGCTTAAGCTGAACAACTATAACTGATCTGGTGACTGGTGTCTCTTAGTTGATATATGAACGAATATGCTTAGAATTGTRKATTTTTACATGTACATTTCCGACACTAACAAGMTTATGTCGTATGTGAAAGTAATTTGCTTTAATTCGAGTAGCTTGTCGCCTAATTCCCTYTCGTCGAGTTCTAACACGTTGGGCAGSACRGTCTGTASTTGTTTGCTGAAGGCYGTGAGGGTAATRGTTTCTTCSTTATCATTATCAGGATTGACAATGATAATCTTTGCACAYACATCTTTGATGCACTTGGACATTCTAGTGTACTGTCCACAGAAATRGCAATGTGCAGAATTCGCCTTGGGCTGCAATATTTTCTTGAAGCACTTATTGCACTTGAGGAAGCTCTCTATCTTGTCGATAGAATCAATTTCAGGTACTGTCTTCGTGACTTTGTCGTCTTCTTGTGGGT